TTTTTTTTTTTTTTGGTACTTTCTTGCCTACTGTTCTCTGAGTTTTTTTTTTTTTTGAATATCATTAATTATGAAAAACTCTCATTTTTTTTTTTTTTAAATATTTATTCTGTTCTTTCCTTCCTTTTTTTTTTTTTTTTCCACTACACATATGTTATACTTTGTGTATTTTTTTTTTTTTTCTTGGATGTTCCATTCCATTTTCTTCAACCTTTTTTCTCTATTATAGTTTCTGAAGACTCTACTGACGTTTCTTCCAGTTCACCGATTCTTTCCTCAGCCATGTCCGGTCTATTTTTTTTTTTTTTAAAGGCACTCTTCTCTTCTGTGAGTTATTTTTTTTTTTTTTTTTCTATTCCTTCTTCAAGTCTCCATCTCTCTATTCACATTACTGATCTGTTGCGTGTTATCCACTTTTCCCATCAGGGCCCTCCACACGTAATCACAGCTGTTTTAAATTACTTTTTTTTTTTTTTTAACGTCCTCACCACACCTCAATCTGGTTTTTTTTTTTTTTTTGTTTCTTCCAAATGGGGTTGTTGTCTTTTTTTTTTTTTTTTTCATTTTTTGTTCAAAGCTGGATATGCTTTTTTTTTTTTTTTAACTCAAGACTGGTCTCCCACAGAAATTTTTTTTTTTTTTTTGAAGTTGGGATGCTCTGTATCTGCCTGCTTTTTTTTTTTTTTGGGGGACAGTAGTTTACCCTGTGACCTCTTTTTTTTTTTTTTTACAAGAAAAGCGGCTGATTTTCAGTTTGTTTGGCTTTTTCCTTATTGTGAGGACTAGAGTGGTGACCTCTTTTTTTTTTTTTTCTCAGACCAGAAACTGCAACAGTTTTGTTTTTTTTTTTTTTTCAAGTAAGTTGCATTCTTATAAAATTAATTTTTTTTTTTTTTTTCACTAAGAGCTTTAGTGTATGTGATTTTTTTTTTTTTTTTAATTTCACTAAGTTTGTAGACTCTGTTTTTTTTTTTTTTTTTGGGCGCAGTGGCTCACCCCTGTAATCCCTTTTTTTTTTTTTTCCAAGGCGGGCAGATCACTTGAGGTCAGTTTTTTTTTTTTTTCCTGGCCAACATGGTGAAAACCATCTGTTTTTTTTTTTTTTTAGAAATTAGCCGGGCATGGTGGCGGGCGTTTTTTTTTTTTTTTACTCAGGAGGCTGAGGTAGGAGAATCATTTTTTTTTTTTTTGCAGAGGTTGCAGTGAGGCAAGACTGCATTTTTTTTTTTTTTCCTGGGTGACAAAAGTGAGACTCCATCTCAAAAAAAATTCACATTTATCAAAGAAAAAAGATAACAATACTTTTTTTTTTTTTTTGCACTGGTTAGTGTTCCATTAAATTAGTTTTTTTTTTTTTTCAACAGTATTTGGCTCAAAAGTTAAGCTTTTTTTTTTTTTTTGTCATATTTTATTTATTCAGAAATATAATTTTTTTTTTTTTTACTATCTGGAAATAGAAGAGATCTCTATTTCTTGGAATAACAGATTCCTTAGGGTGAGGAGGAGCAAAACTTTTTTTTTTTTTTCAGATATTTTGAGATCTATGTTTTCAAATTTTTTTTTTTTTTCACTAAGGCCTCATTTACTAGACGCCATTTTTTTTTTTTTTTTCTGCCTCGAGGAGATCTCCAAACAAATTTTTTTTTTTTTTTAAAACTCAAAAAACATATATAAATTTTTTTTTTTTTTTTTTTGATCTTTCTCATCTGTATTTGCTTTCCCTTTTTTTTTTTTTTCTGAACTTGAAAATATGATAATTAAAAAGTATGAAACATTGCAAGAAATACCAAAATGTGACACAGAGACTTTTTTTTTTTTTTCGCTGTTGGAAAAATGATGCTGAGACACTTTTTTTTTTTTTTGGTTACGACAAACTTCATTTTGTTTTTTTTTTTTTTTTTTTTATCTGTGAAATGCAGTATCCACAAGGCATTTTTTTTTTTTTTGCAATCAAGCGAGGTGTGACTGCAAACTTTTTTTTTTTTTTTTAATCCAAAAATGAGAAACTGAGAACTATTTTTTTTTTTTTTCAAATTTTATATTACTATGCTTGGTTCATTTTTTTTTTTTTTAAACTCTGAGCTAGAAATTAAGCGAAAATTTTTTTTTTTTTTCATAATTCACATGCAATTAGCCAAATTTTTTTTTTTTTTTTTAAATAGATAAGGCCAAAATGAGTTTTTTTTTTTTTTTTTTTTTACAGAACAAGTGGTTCCAAATGAATGATAAAGACTGCTGACATGATTACTTCCTTTCCCTCAATAATTCTTTTTTTTTTTTTTAAAGACAGAATTTGCTGAGCCTTGAAAATTTTTTTTTTTTTTATTCTTTTAGCTAGCTAGCCTTTGGGTCTTTTTTTTTTTTTTAAATTCATGTACTCGGTTAAAAAAAAATTTTTTTTTTTTTTTTATGAACTGTGAACACTTATCAAAGCCTTGCAGTAATAATGAGGGTAAGCTATAGTGGAAAAAAAGAAAATTTTTTTTTTTTTTTAATTTCAAAAACTGCTGGGAGAAATGATTTTTTTTTTTTTTAGGCTTTTCTCTCATACTCTTTTCCAGATTTTTTTTTTTTTTCTTCTCCTTGGCAATGAGAAACTACCGTACTGATCTCTTCTCTCTGCTACTAAATCCTGAAGCTGTGGTATTTTTTTTTTTTTTCCTTGTATTAACCATGTTTGTTTGTTTGTTTTTTTTTTTTTTATTATGATGCTTTGACATTTTGGAGCCTGTGGACCAGGGAAGGGACTGCCCCTCTGAGAACTGGCTAATTTTTTTTTTTTTTTTACTACTTGCCTAGACTGAGTACCCATCTTCAACTAGGCTCCTCCAATCAGGGACACTGCCCCCAGCCCTACATACCCCGGATGCCAGCCAACTAGGGACCATTCCTGCAGCCCAGAGCCCTCCAAAAAATTATTCAAATGATCCAATCCTAAACTTTTTTTTTTTTTTTACCCTGCCTAGCCATTCCTTCCTATGATTTTTTTTTTTTTTCTTCGGATGCTTCCCCCTCGCTCCCTCTTTTTTTTTTTTTTTCCCCAGTGCTTCCTGTGGGACACGGCCCGCCCACCCTCCTGGAACTGTGAGTAACACAGTTTTCCACAACTTTTTTTTTTTTTTCTGTTGGCCTCACCCTGCCCAGATGATATTTTTTTTTTTTTTTTAAAAGTCTTCCCTTTTCAACCTTTCTGAGCCACCGTGACTCAATACTAATTCTCCCTCTTCACCAAAATTTTTTTTTTTTTTGCTAGGGGTGGAGGAAACAAAGCAAAAATTTTTTTTTTTTTTTCAACTCCTTTAAGTACTTTAGGGGGAATTTTTTTTTTTTTTAGCATTGTTTTTTGCTTTTCTTTTTGTTTTTTTTTTTTTTTTATCACGGAAGGTCGGTGAATGTGCGCAGTTTTTTTTTTTTTTTTAAACAGACGTGTTCTCCATTCTAAAATTTTTTTTTTTTTTGTCAACCCACTGCCTTAAACCTCTTCAATTTTTTTTTTTTTTCAGGTTCCTCTGGTGACTCTGTGGTTTCCCATATTATACTTTATGGGGATTCTGACCCCTTCATTAGTGGTTTTTTTTTTTTTTGTTTAGTGCACAGTTAGCATTTGAGGCGTTTTTTTTTTTTTTACACATGGCTCTTGCCTTTATTTAAAATTTTTTTTTTTTTTTAATCAGAAACAATACAAATTACATGAGGTTTTTTTTTTTTTTCCATCAACAGATAATATAACTTAGATATTTTTTTTTTTTTTTTGACTTATCCAGGTCCTTTTTTTTTTTTTTTTTTTTTTTTTTGTCTGCCTCCCGGGTTTAAGCAGTTCTCTTTTTTTTT